CTCTCCCTCTCTCTCTCCCTCCCTCCCTCTCCCCTCTCCTATTTTACTTTCTCTCTCTTTCTCCCGTCCAGTTTGTGTAGAGAACTACAAGTTTCTCTCTCTCTCTCTCTCTCTCTCTCTCTCTCTCTCTCTCCCTCTCTCTCTCCCTCCATCTCCCCTCCCATATTTCACACTCTCTCTCTCTCCCGTCCAGTGTGTGTGGAGAACTACAAGTTTCTCCAGGAGCTAGAGGAGCAGCCTCTGTACGACATCGAGGGTTTGAACCCCAAACTCTATACACACGTGTCAGAACTATACGACATCAAGGTATGTTACGTATTCTTCAGCTTCTTTTTTTACCTTCTGTGGGTCACTGGTGTCCGTGGTGTAGTCGTTAGGCTCCTTGTCAGGGCATACGAAAGATGTGAGTGAGTGGTTGGCGGGTGCTCTGGTGTGGTTTGCTTCTTCTTTCCTATTAAACCTCTATCATCCTTATCTCCACTTCTTCTTTTTTATGTTTGTTACTCTCTTGTAACACCTCTAATCTTCTGGCGCTCATATAACTTTATGCTGTTGCTGTGCCGTAAAACCTCTACTAAAACTATAACTAAACTAAAAGATGTGAGTTTGATTACTGTATGCTCTCCAGGAAGTCGAGTCTGTTTCAGAATGCTCTCAGGTCTGCTGGAGTAATAGTATAGATTGTAAAGTGCATACAGCTTGCTGTTGAATGTGGATTTGCGCTATACAAATGCTATCTATCATTATTAAGGGAAATTTAGATTTTCGAACTTCTCTGTTTTTACGCTGGAATGATGTATCCCACTTTACCAAGGTCAGTGGGTGGTTGGGGGGTGCTCTGGTGTGGTTTGCTCCTTCTTTCTTATGAAACATCTGTTGTCCTTATCTTTCCTCCTTCTTTCTTGTGTTTGTTACTCTCTTGTAACACCTCTATTCTTCGGCACTTATATGACCTTAATGTGTTGCAAGTGTCGTAAAACTCTTACTAAAACTAAGATTACTGTATGCTATGCTTCCCAGGAAGTCGAGTCTGTTTCAGAATGCTCTCAGGTCTTCTGGGGTAATAGTATAGATTGTAAAGTGCATACAGCTTTCTGTTGAACGTGGATTTGCGCTATACAAATGCTATCTATCATTATTTAGGGGAATTTAAATTATCAAGCTTCTCTGTTTTTACGCTGGAATGATGTATCCAACTTTACCAAAGTCAGGATGGAAGCAGCCCACCTCCTGAATGATGTTAAATTTTAATTTAAGTAAGGTTTTACGGCGCTCTCAACTGCATTAGGTCATATGAGCGCCAGAAGATTAGAAGTGTTACAAGAGAGTAACAAACATAAAAAAGAAGAAGGGGAGATAAGGGCGATAGATGTTTGATAGGAAAGAAGAAGCAGACCACACCAGAGCACCTGCCAACCACCCACTGATGTTAGATGTGTTTGTGGCTCGTACTACCTCTAAAGTCATTACACTGTCATCCTTTGAAGGCTCAAGAATGGGGGG